AACTAATCATCTTTGCAGAACACTAGCTTGCCCAATATATCAAGATGATGTGCAGCTCAGGCCTTATTGATGAGGAGAACCCTCACCTCTTTCTCCTTCTGCCACATGCTGTGTACGCTCCAACCCTTTTTTATCTGCCTTTGCCCACCACCTGAAGCTGGCACTGGATGAAAATCCCCCACCCCCTCTTCCCCTTCTAATATGGATGCTTAGGTTAACACCATGGCACCATGTCAGGAATTTTTATCTTATCACCCCTTTGTTTGGCACACAGCAAATAAAGGTGCATGGAGGACCCCCCCTCTTGGGTTAGGCACCACTAATACTAAAAATGAATGAGGGTATCACTATCCCAACCAATTTAAGCAGAATGGGATTTCACAACTAACTTGATATCAAATTGACCTTCTGCTGGCAAGCTGAATCTTGCTTGAATTTTTTCACTGATATTTTCCTCCCACCATGATTCCGCTTGGTAGATTGGTGACACTTTATTTGGTGGGTGGCTAGTTGCATCCATGGCCAGAATACATGGGCATGGTCCCATTGGGTATCAAAGAGATTTATTGCCCTTGACCCCACTGGATTTGGACCCCTCATTTATCCATATTTCTTACCTCTTTAGTGAGCCTAAAATTGTCACTGGGGTTAGTTGCTCACCCAGACTTACAGAAGTTTAATGGGCATCTAACATTAGTATCTATTGGTCAATTTAGTATGGCTCTTTTAAAACTAAATTTATTGTTGCTTATGGTAGTAAAGATGTTTTTTAACCAACTTTGAAAAAGGAGAAGGTTATCAATTTGACCTGTATTTATGTTTTTTAAATATTGATTTAATTGAGGTGGGTCACCCTTGGGGCAAATATACCACACCAGATTTAGTTAGAAAGTGAAAATATAGGAATGTAGGATAAACCCCAAGCACTGGGAATAAACCCTTCTTGTGCATGATCTGATAGGTCAGTACTACTTGATCCAACTTTACTAATTCACTTGGATGGGCTGAGGCATGGATTGTGATCCCACATGATTCTTATACTCTTAGCATAGCACAGAAATATACTTTTTAAAAAAGTTTAGTTTAATAATTTAGATATAGAAAATAATCACATATTTGAGCTAATTTTTAGTTATGTCTTAAAAATTGATAAATGTCTAGAATATGATTAAAATCTAAAATCTAATTGATACCCAATGATTATAGAGATGAAAAGGAGTTACTTTATAATTTATAGTCCTCTATGATACCAAAATATTGTCACATCAGGGAATAAGCAAATTGTGCATTTATAGGTATTGTGAATTACTGAGATCACCAATCCATCAGTGGATGTCCCCTCCCTGATATTTTTCCTTATCTCATTTATTCATTTTATCTGCTTTTCCTTTGAGATCCCCAAAATCCCTTTCCCTTTGAAAATTTTCAATTGATCAGGTATAAAAATTTATTTGAGGTGGGTTGACCTTGGGACAAATATACCACACCGAGAATGTTTTCTAGCCAATACAGTTTTTGAACTCAAAATCTGCACTAGGGGTGGAAGCAGTTTTACCCGCTCAGCTAATCACCCTTTTGATCAGGTATAATTTTTTTAAAAAAACTTCATACTTTATTAAAATAGAATTTAAGGGAAAGTAAGAGGGGAGGGCGGAATACAGGCAATTCATCCAAGGGTAAAAAGGACTGGGATTTGGGCTGCTAGAGTTCTGCACCTTCAACCATTGCTGATTGGCAATCACCATCACTAGCCATGGTTCTAGCATCAGCGGGCTTACAGGCCATTCAATTATCAGTCAATTAGTAGTTTCATCTCATGCAATGAGCAATCTGGTGGGAAAAGCCAAACATGTGGCCTTATAACACCTGGGGACTATGCACAAGAATTTTGAGATCTGGTGGGGCTGATTGGAGATAATCCAAATGGTCTTCAATACCAAACCTCTGTGATGGGGGCACTTGGTGCTCAAAACCTTGGTGACAAGCGCACAGTGAATTACCCATACACACTAATGGTAAATGAAGGCTCATAGTTGGATTGGAGCCATTCTCAGGGTTTTTGTAAAGAACAGGTCCTGTGATAGATGTATACCCAGTGGCAAATATTTGCCTGATAGGATGTAATGCATTGTGGACCAGTATTTTTTGAACATGGCACATTCATAATAATGGTGTGCTATGTCTGCTTCCAGTTCAGTGCATATGGGGCATTCTTTATGCTGGTAGTCCAGCCCGCTGTGCTTGCCCAATTTGAATACCCAATTTAGGATCCACCAGGTTACCAAATACTGTTTGGACATAACCAAGAGAGAGTTCAGGCCCAAAATCAACTCCTTCATCAGGTAGTTGGTGTCTTGGCCTTCAGTAGTCCAGTCATTTAGAATTAGTGGATGGGTGGGCAGATTGCACCCCAGTTTTGGGAGCAAATCCCCATATTCTATCAGCATCAATTTGTACCTTATGCTGTTTGACTTGGTTGCATACTTGTCAGTGATTTAGTTACGCTCCTCCCAGCTTGTTGCAGAAATCATTGTGGAGTTATATACTTTGATGTACCTCTGAATTTGGTCAGCCTCTCAGTCTGATTGCTCAAATGATCACCCGCCCTGGCGCACAGCCCGATTGCAGAGTTGCCAGTAGTGTGGGGCACCTCTTTGGGAGGTTATCCGCAGGTGGTTCACTATCCATTCATATATCAATCAGGGGGATACTGGCTATTGGAGGCCTTGGGCTCTTGCCCAGTTCATACCCCATGCTAGAGTTGGGCAGCACATGTGCATCTGCGTTAGCTTCAGAAATGACTTCCCCCATATGTGCTGGGTGTGAGATTTGAAGTCCAGGAGGCCCATGCCTCCTTCGTTCTTTAGTTCTGACAGGGCTTCCAGTGGTATTGGTGCCACCTTTGCCTTGAACCACAGGAAAGTTTGGAGCATTGACCTGATTTTTTTTCTCTAAGTTCAGGCTCATTGGCAGCATGTGAGCAATATACCACAACTTTGAGAAGATAAAGATATTTATTGCCTGCACTTTCTCCTCAAGGCATAGTCTGGCACTTTTCCAGCATACCATTTGGATCAATAAGCTTGATAATACTTCTTGTTTGGTCTCTAGTACCACTAGTCCCTTGTCATTGAAGAGTATCCCAAGGTATCAGACTGTCTGGGAGCTTGTAATTGGCGTTGTGTCAGTTGGCAGGCTGAAGCTCGGGCTGCTGACCCTCATCACTGAGGTTTTTGCCAAATTTATTTTTGTGTTTGATGTGAGCTGATAGAGGTTTAATAGATCCTCAGTGCCCTGGAGGTCAGTCGAGGAGCTTATTCCTACTACTGTATCATCAGTGAGTGCTAGCATCTTCAGTAGCATTTGGTTAGGGTGGACCAAACCCTGGAGCTTTGCATCTGCTGCTGCCAGTAGAATGTTGGCTGCAAAGTTGAAAAGTATCAGTGACATAGGGTCTCCTTGGTGGAGACCTTGCCTGACAGGGATTTCATCGGTTGTGCCATCTATGACAATAACCTTCATTACCAGGCCTGAGTACAGCATCATTATCCATGCTTGAAATGTGTTGGGGATACTGACTGCCTTCAGTGCCTCGTGTAGGAATAATTTTGATCAGGTATAAAAGCCTGCTCATTATTTTGAATAAAGTATTAAAAATACTCTCTACCTATATTTTCATGTTGCTTATTGGGATTTATCCCCAACTTACTGTCTATAACATTTTGGGCCAAATGCCCAACTGTGAACACCTGCCCACCATGACCCAAATGGCTGATGAACCCAAAACCTGAGGTGTCGCTTGAACCTCCCGTCGTGATGAATCTGGGATTCCCAAGCTCTCACAACAGTGGGTGATCTAATAAGGCTCAATACACCTGATATTGAGGATTTCTATGCAATTAAAATTGGTGCGTTCAACTTGCAGATTAATTAATGTACATAAATAAGAACCCTAGAGAGTAAATTGATTCGGATCAAAGTTTTAAACTATGTCACAAGAGCGGTTTGGCATGGTCCGCTAAATTAGTAACTAATAAATTGCATCGCTCTTATACTCAAGGTCTTTATATAGTTAAAGCTTCAGTCTCAGTACCTCAGGTAGGCTTAGAGTCTAGCATTCTTCCATTATGCCAAGCTAAATTGGATATATAATCCGATCAAATAGAAATTATAAATGCATAATAAAAATTACCATAATTTGGTGCTCGAAGTATGGTTTTGTATCTCATGATGTGAGTCAGAACATTAGAACTGGATTGAGAACCCGCTCCTTTTTTTAGTACTAGATGGTCCCAAACCCGCTCCTTGAATCGTATAGATGTAATGTGATCTGATTATACATATTTTCAGTGTTGTTAGCACCGGTATCTAATTTTCACAGTCCAGATGTTCTACCAGCAGCCGTTGAGAAATTACGGTGTTAAACTATAAGTTCAATGGTATTTTAGATATAAAAATCTCATTTATTTATATATTATCATTTGAATTTGTTTATATATTATTATTTGAATATAATCTAATGTTATATAAAATTACTTGTTTGAGATAATTTGTGACCCTTAGGAATAATTGCTGAATCAGTTCGTGTCAAATTGAGGTAATATTTGAGGAATGTTAATTATGTATAAGGTTCCTATGTGCAATTGTTTCATGGCTAGACCTAAAAGCCATAAAGTTCTAATTTGCTTAATGACTATAAAACAATTAAGCGTTTAAAAGGTTGAGAACGAGGTTTTGTCATAACATAATGTAACTTTGGTTTAATCAATTGTTTGGGGTGAATGAGCCATAAATCGCGTGTATCAAAAGAGCGATTGATTTGATCAAATATATAGAGGCAAGTCCATTATGCGGTATCCTTTGACAAGTGAGTTGTTATGGTGTATTTGTTCATAAACGAATCAATTTTTAGTACTATATTTGAAAATAATATTGCAAATATGAATCAAATTAGTTAAATGTAGAAACATATAAATCATTTAGATGAATCGACATCTAAAGGGGTTGTAAGCCAGTCGGTAGGTAGGGTGTATGGCTACTAACCTAAAGGTTGCGGGTTCGATTCCTGTTCTTCGCACATCGATAGGGGTATCAGCCGAACGAAGCTATTGGCGGTTATTGGTCTAACGACATGAAAACCTTACCCATGACGTAACCAGAAAAATCCGAGTCCCGATCCGGAGGTGGATAAACTTTCTTCGACGGAGCAGACCTGCTCAGTTTTCATGTTTTCTTTCTCTTTCGGTAATGTCCGTCCCCTGGTCGGCTTGCCTCGAATAAAATATTGAAATCTAAATTTATAAATAAGGATCAGAAACCTAGGCATCCAATGCAGACGACCCGGGGTGCTTTGATGCTTAAATACGTCCGCAGCAAAATGATGCTATCCAAAAGCAAACTTAATAAATTAGGAAAATAAATTCTTCTATTAATTTGATAAGTTTCAGTGGTGACCTTAAGCATGAAGCTCTGTCATATTCCAATGAATGTTGGATGCAAAGAGTACTTTATCACTAATTAAAACACTTACGATGACCCATTCTGCTTAATTTATGCAAAACATCTTCATGGGATCCTATCGAATATAAAACCCATACATCTTGATTGAGAATCAAAACATGAAGTATTCTAGTATTCTTGCCTTTATTTTAGTTGGGGTTGGATCCCTCGAGGCCACTTACGTAGTGAGAGAAAAAATGGAGCCAAACTTCAGCCTACTGTAATTCGTGAGCCTAGATTCGGTACAAATCAAAACTACCGCCGCGATGATCAGGAAAGTTTAGCCTTTGGCATTATTCGCCGCGGGAACGGTAAAGAACTTGCTGACGGCATCTCGCGCCGCGACAGCAAAGATAAGAGTGCGCGTGATATATTACGCCGAGGGGAAGTTAATTTAGGACAAGGCGTTGTACGTCGCGATAACCATGACGATTATGCATACGGCATCCTTCGTCGCGGTAATAAAAACGCTGCCAAAAACATCCTTCGTCGCAGCGACGGCAAAAGTAGTATCCAGAACTATCCTTCGTCACAGCAACGACAAAAGAGTATCCAGAACTATCCTTCGTCGCAACTAGACATCCGTAAATACTTCATTGCGTGACCCATTTATCCAAGCTTTTGATTAAATCCTACCTTGCACTTTTGAATTAAACCACATTACAACGAAACTAGTTTTTACATAAGCTTTATTGTCTACTCGCTTTGTATAAAGTTTCAGCAATTCATATCAGCCCAATACTACTATACTCCTTTGGCACAGAATCTAAAACCAAATCCCAATTGACCTCTATCGTACCAGTGGTCTACCAACCTTAATTTATTTATTTAAGCCATACATTAAAGTAAAAGTAAAGTCACAACTAATTCTATTGACTAAACTATAGTAGAATTTTTTAAGAATATCAATGATCAATTAAAATTTTAATACATATTTAACCATGAGATTTTGACACATATATTAGCCCATAATCCTTATCTTTTACTCAATTTATTCGAGGTATGCTGACCAGGGGATGGACAGTACCAAATCACAACACCCAAAATGACAAAAAATAAAACTACTAACCAAGTGGGAAGTGGAAACTGCTAACCCACTATGGCAGAGGGTGAGGAGGGGTTGGGGGGGTTGGTTTTCAGAAAGACCTGCCTCAATCATGGGATGTTGGTTACAGTACCGGACCAGAGCAGAGAGCCAGGGTGTTGGGGCATCCACATAGTGGGGGTGGAGGTCAGCGTAGTAAGAGTTTTCCACTTCCTCATCAAGATAATGATGGGAAAGTGATTCAACAAAAGCTGTGAGGAGAATTTCTGCTTCTTTACAGGCTTCAGGAAGTTGGGTGAAAAGGGAGATACTGTGGTGGGTGATTTTGGCTGAGGGGTTGAATGAAGCAAGCATTGTGACATTCATAATAGCAAATTCAGCATCATCAAATAGTTTTGAGATGTCACTGCAGGGAGATTCAGGGAGGTTGGGGGGGAAGAAGAGAGGATGGGCAGGCCATGCTGGAGCTGAGCCACTGACTGGGCTACCACGGTGCATAGTTTTGGGCACTGAGGAGAGGCCACCACAGCTAAGGCGAGCTGGTGGTCACTTTGGAAGGGGGCTGTATTGGGCAGAGGAGTGAAATGGTGAGGGGTAGGGGTTTCATCAAAGTCAGGAAGGAAAAATTATGCCCAACCATAATTGAATTGGCAGAGAGGTTGACCTGTATACTTACTAATGAGGACATTACCTGATTCATCAGTCTCAGCCAATAGATCCCATGGATTTTGGTTCACTGGAATAGTGGCATTCAAATTTGGGTGGGTGGGATTGGGTGAATGGGTGGCTGCTTGGGTGCCAATGGGGGTCCAAGCATTGCTCTGATTGGCTGGGGTGGATTTAGGTGGGAGAGTGAGGCTGGAGGTTTTGAGGGGGCTGATTTTCCATGTGGGCCCACTGAATGAGATTGGAGGGTGGGAGGGGGCAGCAAAGCACCCCATACTGAACCTCCAGAGGGGGGCTCAGAAGCCACAGTAGTGGACTTGGCCTGAGGGCATGCTTTTTTTGCATGGTCGAGGCCAAAGCAGAGGGAACAAATCTGCCTACTATTATTGACCTGAGCCCAAAAGAAATGATCAGGCACTGCAGCCACACTAGCGTGGGGTGGGATTTGTTGGGCTATGGTAGGGTGGTGTGGGATGATGGTAGCTGTTGCATGAGGAGCAGCAAGGCACTCCACACCAGATGGAATGGCAAAGATGAGGTTGGGCTGAGTGCCATAAGCCATAAGCCCTGCGACCAACTGGTCATACAAAACCTGGGGTGGAAGGTGGGATGGGAGATTTGCAAAGGATACCACCAGCATGGTGTCTGAAGGGAGGTGAGTACAGGTTATGGGAATGGGGTTTTTTTATAAATTAGAGGAGTTTGTGCTGCCACTTCAGCATCTTCCTCAGATTGGAACCCAACGTCAAAGTAGCCCTTAAAAGGGCGGAAGTCTATAAAGCCAGCTGGCGCAAAGGCCGCAGTGGCTAGGTCAATAATTGCCTTATTGGCATATGGGAACAAATGCCCATAGTCCACTTTGAGGCAATAGCAAATGGCGGAGCAAGGGAGGGCAAGAGGATGGGGACGAGAAGGGTGGACGCGCGCCAGGTGGAGCGCTAAGTCCTGTGGGGGGACAAAACGGCTGGAAGCAGTGGGCGGGCTGTTTGAGCCCATCCAAACGCGCTTGCCCGCGGAGCAGAAAATGCTAGGTGGGAGTGCACCGCTGCCCCACACTGGGGAGGCAGGCAGCGGAGCCAAGGACATCAAAGAATAGGTTTAGGCAGATGGCTGTGGATAAATAAAACTTAAATTTAAAATTGCTCAAAAGTGACTTCAAGTGGTAAAAGAAAGCTTCCCATAATTCTTATCTTTAAAAGTCAAATATCACTCACTCAATGAGCTTCATTTTCTAAACTAGAGCACGAAATTGGTATATATATGGTTTGTGGTTATAAGTGCTCACTATGCACTTTTAGAAGGCTACCTTTAATAGATAAATTAATTAGGTAAACCTTTTAAACCCTATAAATTTTTACCATATGCAACTATAAAATCAAACAGTTGATAATTGAATTTTACCACTCACTGATATAAAATATCAATTACAGTAAAAACCCCAATTATCCGCTGAATTTGGTGGCAAAGATACCACAGATAGTGAAAATTGTGGATAACCTAAAAAAAGACTAACATGATGTGTAAACACAAAAAATATTTCAGCATAAAAACTATATTTTATTATACAAAAATATAATATATAAAACTTTCAAAATATGTACAGTACAGCAGAAACCTTTGCTCTACATCTAAATCACTAAAATAAAGAACAGAAACAAAAAACAGTACTGTACTGTTAACAAAAAGTGTTCAATTACACCTTTTTGAAAGTCATTCACTCGTTTTTGCTTCATTCTTTGAAAACAACTTTTCTTTATTCTAGATTGAACTTTCCTTAACATGAGTTTTTCTGCCAGATGTGCATCATCATCTTGTTCCTCTAAATATTGAAGCAATCTGTCTATGTGCTGCAAAGCAGTTTCATGCATCATTTGCGCAGGTGCCCCATCTTCCTCACTTTCACTTTGTTCTTCTTTATTCTTGTTCACTTCCATAGCTTTGTTTTTTATCTCTACGTCAGTAAGTCATTCAAACCCCATCTCACTTTTGTCACATTCCAACCACTCTTCTATGTTCTCTATGTCAACATTCTCACTGTCATGGCTACATAACATAATTGAAGGACAGACTGTAAAGACAAGACAGGATATCAGTAGAGAAAAAAGGTCAAGCTGCAAGGCCTCCCTGACTTGAAAAATACCCTTGGCCAACAGTGGATACAAGTAAAATATGCCCAGTTTGGTCCTGGGGATATGCATGATGCTCAGCCTGGTATTACAGCCAGAGAATTAAAATGCATCAGCTACATTCTCAATGCTGATGGTTCAATTTGGTTACTTGAGAAACAGGGTTTTGAAACCATTCCATTTAGAAATTACTAAGTCAGGATGAGCCAATTTGCAATCTAAAAGTCAAGTTCAGACAAGCTTGAGTTACAGGACCCTGGCCAATGGCAGTGTGCACCTACTAGTTTGCCTAGGCTTTTGTCAGGCGAACAGCAAGTGAGAATTAGACTGGCCTGCCAGCCCGGATACCAGAGCACCCAAATGGCAAACCAGAATGCCAGAGGCACTGCTGCTGGTACAACGAATATGGAACTGGAAGGGAGCTTAATTTTAAATTTATTGCGAGGAAGGCTGACCATGGGACGGATACTTCCGAATTTGACCTGAAAGAGACAAAACTTAGTAACAGGGAAGGCACCCCAGAGAAGCGATGCTATCTCTTGTTGCCAGCGGGAACGCCACTTATGGGGAGGGGGAGGGAACGTGTGAAGGGGCCGTAGCCACAATTGAACATGTGTGGAGGAAAGGGTCTGATTTGATGAACCAAACTGGGAACCAGGAGGAGACCAGCTGTCGGCGATGTGGTGGGAGGTATCCAAACATCCACGCCTGAAAGTGGTCCACCAAATGAGACTGGAAT